ACGATCAACTGAGTACTCTAAAACCTAGGTCTTTAAATAATCAAAGCTGGTTTAAAGCTAAACTGGTAGATATAGCACACCAATTTCATAATGCTGGACCAAAGCAGAGAAGCATATTAACTTCTCAGCATTTTAAATCACTAAAAGAACCACGAAAAAACCCTGATACTGTCTTGTTGAAACCTGATAAAGGATCAGGCTTAGTTATCATGAATAAATGTGAATATAAAAGTAAGATGTTATCCATCCTGGTGTTGAATTTGCAGGTATTGGCAAACTATAGGGAAGAGTAAATTCAGACCTAGAAAAATTGCTACACATGAATATCATTAATAAAGAAGAATTTAATTTTCTAAAACCTATGGGTTCCAAGTACCCTTATTTATATGGACTACCTAAAATTCGCAAACCAAACATTCCTTTACGTCCTATTATATCAATGTGCAGGTCACCTACACATAACCTGGCCAAATGGCTAACAAAATTATTGGACCCCATCCGAAGACGTCTATGTAAGTATTCTCTAAAGGATTCTTTTGAATTGGTCGATATTAATATCAAAGAAAAGACAATGTGTTCATTTTATGTGAATTCCTTGTTCACAAATGTACCTTTGAAAAAAACTATTGAAATATTATGTGATTACATATCTTTAAACAATCTTAAATTATGTGTCCCTTTAAAAATTCTTAAAGATTTACTATTATTATGTACTGACAAAGCTCAGTTCACTTTTGAAGGTGAATACTTTCCTCATATTGATTGGGTTGCTATGGTTAGTCCGCTAAGACCATTATTAGCAGATTTGTTCATGGCACATGTTGAAAACTTGGCTGATGACCTATTCGAAAACATGTCACCTTATAAGAGATATGTGGACGATATCTTAGTTGTTTGTGAAAGAAATGAGGATATGTGCTGCTTATTGAATAAATTTAACTTTCTCCAAAACCATATCAATCTCTCATGTGAAGTGGAGAAGAACGATCAGCTTCCCTTCCTAGATATACTTCTGAGTAGACGAGAAGATGCCTCAGTCAAACGATAAATTCTTAGAAAACCAACGTGGACAGGTCATTATTATTATAGTTATTGCCCTGTGCAATACAAACGTGGTTTGATAACGTGCCTATTCAATAGGCTTGATCGTATTTGTTCAAATGATGCCATTGATGATTATGTTAAGTTGTGAAATAAAACATTAATGGGAAATGGCTATTCTTTGAAATTCATAAATAGTCCATGGCACAGTGAGACCTACTGTAGCCTTGGTAGAGTAAAAGCCTATCTACATCACCTTACCATCCAGAGGTGATTCAAATAGCCTCTTACTGAAACAAAGACTTAAATCAGTCATTAACAAAACGTATTGCGCAGCAAAGGTCACTATCAATGAAAGAACAAGTTTCATGCTTCATCCAAAACCTAAAAGACATGAAAACTATTCTGTCACATCCCACTGTGTTTACCGATTTAAATGTGTGTGTAGTCACAGATATATAGGGAGGAGCAATCGTGATCTCAAAATTAGGGTGTGTGAACGTCTACCAAAATGATTGCAGAAACAAATACGATCAAGTGACCCAATAAGAGTAGAGGATAAACATCCATCATCCTCTATTGCTAAACATATAATTGAAACAGGCCATAAGATTGATCTAAACTCGGCTTTCATGGTGTTGTATAAAGGTGTAAAAGGGCGTATACTAAGGTTTGTTGAAGCCTTAGAAATACGAACATTCAAACCCATTTTTTGTGTATTCATATAAAAATTCCTTGACAAGTATATGTGTAACCAGATTGTTCGATATGTATAGCGTAAATACATCACATTTTTCAGATAAACTCCATCTTCTCATTGTTCTATCGAAATTTATCAAAGGGACTAATTGCTTTAGAAAGAATATTGATCGGAAGTGACGTATCGTATTCACAAAAATTATGATTGAACTTACTTGAATACAAGTTAGTCGTCCTAGTTTAAACATTGATTATCAAAAGGGTCAGCGTGTTAAGTATTTGTGAATGAACGTTTAAGAACGAATTTAGAGACTTTAGTTGCATATCTTCTGAATTTATTTTCTATCAAACATTATGCTACCACGGTATTCAAAGCTTTTATTCAAGCAGATTAGGAATGGTGATCAGCAAAGTTTTTTTGTACTGCAGTCATTTAATTAGATAACATGCATTTAAGTACTTAATATCCAAACCATGAGTATGCAAAGTGTGGTGTATTTCATAGTAGACAACTGGAAATGTTAGAGATAGAGTTTTGATCATAATAAGTATTTTGTTTGGATTTCCACCAACGGAGAAAATTAACATTTACAAATCTAAGGAAATCAAAGTGATTGAAAAAAAATTTTTTTATTTCACATTTTGTTAACATCTGACAAACACATTTGGTCAAATCGTGCCAGCATACACCAAGTATATAAATTATATGGAAATGACTTCATTTATATTTTTCCATATTTAATCATTCAACTGGTTATGCGTACATGACCATATTGACTATAATATTATGTAATGTTTTCAATTAGTTCAGAAGAAGTCCAACAAATAAGTTGCTGCATTTTCTCTGTTGGTCAATAAATTTTATTCTGTTAAAATGACCGAAGGAGTAAGATTATGACAGTAATGAATATGCCATACTTGTTTGTTGATCACTCTCATACATAAATATTTTCGTATAAAAGTATTTTCATCCTTACTCTAATAAAACTCTTGGTTATTTCATAGAGAAGTTAGTCAGCTTTCAAACCTATATAGTCCTACGTTATTATCGAAATATGTTTGTCAGGATAATGAGATGTGATTGATCCATATAAAGACAGATCTATGTGCACTGTGAACAGTGTACGTGAATAATTTAATTTTCATGAGCCTAGTTTTCTCTATGGTTTTGCATATTTCAAGTTTATCTGTTTTTTATCCTTCATCTTTTAATTAGATCGACCACATTTTAACAACTTCAATAAAATCATTTAAGGGTTTTAATGACTTTATTATCAATATTTTTTTCTATAATTTCTAGCTGATACCTATTTCCACTAACTTATCGACTTGAAAAATTCACACTGTAATCTTTCACTTGGCAGTTGAAGCCATGGTCTACAGTTTTCCATACTCTTCGGACCTTTGAGCCAATCTCATGATTCATTTTTCAGTTTATTTTGTCCGTAAATTTCATTCATTTTTCCCGTCCAAACTGACAGAACAAGATTGTTGATCACATAATTATTTTATCCAAACACTAGTTTAGTGCTTCAGGGGCATCGCTCTTCTCTCAATACCGGGAAAAGTCTTCAACAGGGTATTGTTAAACAGGATGAAGGACTGCGTAGACGCCCAACTTCGTGACCAACAGGCAGGATTCCGTAAGGATAGATCGTGTACAGACCAAATCGCAACTCTACGGATCATTGTGGAACAATCAATTGTATGGAATTCATCACTCTACATTAACTTCATTTACTACGAAAAGGCATTTGAAAGCGTGAACAGAACAACACAATGGAATCTTCTTCGACACCACGGCGTGCCTCAGAAGATAGTCAATATCATACAGAACTCATATGATGGATTACACTGCAAAATCGTGCATGGAGGACAGTTGACAAAGTCGTTCGAAGTGAAGACCGGTGTTAGGCAAGGTTGCTTACTCTCACCCTTTCTCTTTCTCCTGGTGATCGACTGGATCATGAAGACGTCAACGTCTGAAGGAAAGCGCGGGATACAATGGACATCTAAGATGCAGTTGGATGATCTAGACTTCGCAGACGATCTGGCCCTTCTATCCCAAACGCAACAACAGATGCAGGAGAAGACGAACAGTGTGGCAGCAGCCTCAGCAGCAATAAGTCTCAATATACACAAAGGGAAAAGCAGGATTCTCCGATACAACACAGCATGCACCAATCCAATCACAATTGACGGAGAAGATTTGGAAGATGTAAAAACCTTTACGTATTTGGGCAGCATCATTGATGAACACGGTGGATCCGATGCAGATGTGAAGGCGCGGATCGGCAAAGCAAGAGCAGCATATTCACAACTGAGGAACATCTGGAACTCAAAACAACTGTCAACCAACACCAAGGTCAGGATTTTCAATACAAATGTCAAAATAGTTCTACTGTCTACTAGGGACAGAAACCTGGAGAACTACGAAAGCCATCATCCAGAAAATACAGGTGTTTATTAACAATTGTCTACGCAAAATACTTCGGATCCGTTGGCCGGACACTATTAGCAACAATCTACTGTGGGAGAGAACAAATTAGATCTCAGCAGAGGAAGAAATCAAGGAGAGGCGTTGGAAGTGGATAGGACACACATTGAGTTAAGCACCCAAGTGTGTCACAAGACAAGCTCCCACATGGAATCCTCAATGCCAAAGGGGGAGAGGAAGACCAAAGAACACATTACTCCGAGAAATGGAGATAGACATGAGAAAAATGAACAAGAATTGGATGGAACTAGAAAAGAAGGCCCAGGACAGAGTGGGTTGGAGAATGCTGGTCAGCGGCCTATGCTCCATTGGGAGTAACAGGCTTAAGTAAGTAAGTAAGTTTAGTGCTTGCAAAAATGAAATCGTCAAAGTGGACAGTTTCGATTCATTGCAGATCATGAATTTTGTTATAACATCGATTAAATTATTTCGTTGATTGGTTAAATAAGAAAAAGATTGTCACTAGAATAAATGGTTAATGGCAGTAGTAGCAGTAATGCTAATAGGGGTGTCTTCTAACTAGATACCCTAATCGATTTCCTGGACGCTTTTAATAACACTCAATAAATCTACAAAGCGACTTGAAAACAAGATATGAGGTGAGAATTGTGAGAATAATTGTTTACTCTAAGGTTAGTTTATATGCAGAAAAACGAGGGTATTTATAATGTTTCAGACTGCTTTGGTCTTCTGAAAGTTTCTAGGACCATACGAAATATAGTAGCAGCATAGGTGAGTATTCTATCATTCAACCTTGATTGGATCAAATGTTTCCCAATGTTTTCTGGACCCCTATGGACCTTAGTAGAGAATACTTTGGATCTCCTCGACGAGTAGTAGTAGTAGTAGTAGTAGTAGTAGTAGTAGTAGTAGTAGTAGTAGTAGTAGTAGTAGTAGTAGTAGTAGTAGTAGTAGTAGTAGTAGTAGTAGTAGTAGTAGTAGTGGTAGTAGTAAGCAAGAGCATATACAAACTAAGAAGTTTTTCTAACTGGTACAAAACAAACTCTGATAAAGTTAATTTTCGGCCTATGTTGAATATATTTTTATGTTTGCTCAATGTATGACGCTGTCTATATCATGATTACTTCCACCTGCCATTGTACTATACAGATAGGTAGTCTGTTACATCACCCACGTGATTGTTAGCATTGGACTACTTGATTCGATTTGTTTCTCATATATTTTTGATGAGAGTTTGGGTTATAAAAGATGAAATATCACTAAAAACCAGCTAGAACTGAACGGTTATTTTACTTTAACTTGTAACTGCTTGATGCCAAGTGTTTTGGGTGGTGTATACATTTATTTAAGTAAACCTTTAAAGGAAATGAGCATTTGTCCGCAGATTGGAAAATGTTGTTTTTTTTCCAAAACAGAATATACCAAATATATAACTGATTGCTGAATGTTATTTTGTTCTTGCTCAGAATTAACTTTAAGGATATATGATGTTATCATAATCTGTTATTAAAATATATTTAAAATTTAAGTAGAACGCCGAAGGATGTAAACTAGGTGAGGTTATTCTTCACAGTATAATCATATCTTTCTGTACATTTCTGGTAGAAATAAGCTTCTGCAAATAAATATCGCGAAATAATTCTCTTAAAAGTTGAACATATAATTGAAGAAACATAGAGGCTAGTAAAATATATGCAATATCTGTAATAGAGGTAAGAGTAAGCTCAAAGACAAATATACATTAGATACAATCTTCATTTTCAAATTATGCTAATACTTTTTGGAAAATAATTTGGTTGTTTTCAGTAATGAGGTGACAATTCAGCACTATATTTTGCTTATTTCTATTCCGGAGAGTGTACACGGATTTCCTCATAAAATAACGTACACGTTTTCAGAAGTTATCATTTTTATTTTCAAAAGTGTGTACTCGAAAACTGTATTCACAAGTACACTAATGATACGCAAATGAATATATCTATTAGAATCAGATTATGAAATTATAACACAATCCTATAACTTTAAAAGACATAGACGTGATCATCTTTTGCTTCATTATCGTTCAAGCACTCTTCGTTCAGCAGAATATTCAATGCTCACAGTTGTCACAGTCAACTATTGTGAGATCAGCTTTATTTTCCTCATCAGCTTTGGTTCATTATAATGACACATGAATGATAGCACACGCTCTGATTCATTTGACTAGATGATAATGAATAAAATATAACAGTAATAAAACTGAAGTCGCTTTGAGAACTAAATTATTTATATAATCGGTACAGCAAGTCGTGACATTGTCAAAATATGTAAATTTTTAATTATTTAGTATTATTAACTATAGGTTTGTCCTCCAATGCAAAATTCACAGCATACATCATTTAATAGTTAAAGTTGATGGACAGTATAGAAATATATATGACTTTTAAATTATATTTATAGGTGATTCTCTTTATGAACTTATTAATCGTGATTAAGAATGATGGGATTCGTAGCTATATTACATCAGATATGGCATCAGATATGCATTCTAATCCCCTAGTTGTATTCCGAATAGCCACAACGTACAATGTCAACTAGGAAAATAATTAAAGATTTCCTGTGAACTTTTGTGAATCTTATTATGCTACTCATTAGTAGCATAAACAGAAAGAAGGAATTAATTGCGGGAAATGACAAATTTTAAAATTAACCCAAGTTGCGTATATTCACTGGATTCAGATGATAATGTATTTTATCCTTCCCCTCAGTTTTAGGATGAAAAACAACTTGGAAGTGACGTTTTGCATGATTTTTATTTTATTTTCCTGATAACCGAAAATGAATTAAAACATATTAGTGAGTTTATGAACCGATCTAAGTTAGACAAACATTGAAAACAAGGAATCACTTTATAGATATTTCCTCATAGTGTGGCTATCCTCATTGATGTTCATTCACGACCCCAACATGAATTGAAACCACGACCCTCAGGTCTCACGATGAGAGCTTCGCTTATAAATTAGTAAATCGAAATTTAATGGTTTCTTGTTTAACAAAGTAAGTAATTAGGATGTAGAAGAATGTATGACCTTAATGTGTATTAAAAAGATGCAATTGATTAAATAGATAGTACTTGAGCAGAACAGATAGTTATTTGAGTATTGCATAAAATCTTTGTTCATGATTTATGTAGACCATTAGATACAAAATAATTTTATTCTAATATAACCAATCCTAATATTATCGAGTAGGAAATACAAAATACATTATCAGTTTAGGGGTTGTGGAGATTGTTAAGTTTTTGATTGCGATCACGAACCCCTCGAGCGGGGTCGTGGATGCGCACTGCTGAGGAGTCCAACAATAGGACGAAACAACCGTCCAGTGCTTCCAGGTTTTCAATGGTGCTCTAACATCAATCGGTTCATGATCTCAATCAAAAACAAATTAAATTGTCATATTATAAAGTCATATAAAAATTCAAATTTTTCCTATACTGTTTTCTGATTGATAAAACTATTTGTATTATCCATAATGTACCATGAAAATAGATTGTCATTGACCCCAACATACTCAAATTAACTCTTATTATGCTGTCGATTATTAGTTTGTGTTTAGTATCTCATTAAAATATAAACATTATACATTGTTGCTAGTTAACCATGTAAATTTTCTCTGGGTAAGAAAAACGCTTATAAATATTCTAACCTATAAAAATCATTGATTCAAAATAACGATTTACTATGACTCTTTTTTTACATTTTTGTCGACACAATTTATTCTTCTGTTTTTACTTTATGCTATGATTTGTAAAATTAAAATAATTCACACTTATAATGCTGCTTACACAATGAATGGACGGAAGTATTTTAATGTTTCACAATTCCATGTACATTCAATAACAACATCGATCAATATTGTTTCCTTTTTAGAGCGGTTCAGTTTCATTATAGTTTAGATTACTTATAAGTAAAGTCATTAAGAAATATCCATTCCAGAACGAAAATAATTTACTAAATGTACCAGCAAAGTAAATAAGAATTCAAACATGAAATGACAAATGAGTACCGTGTTTGATAATATAATGATCTAACATATAACTTTAAGTACATTACTACTTAAAAAAATTGAATAAGTCAATACGACACGATTACAATTTGAATGTAAATGACTTAAAAATATGAGCTTAAAACTGTTTTCTGTAATTTTACGTTTATTGAGGAAAAATTAGTGTGTAAGTTTCATCAATGAAACTCCAGCAAAAGGTTTAGCAAAATTCGTTTACTAGATCATTAACAAAGGCATAAATAAACTATATATAATTTCACCTAGCATATAATCTGTTAGTTTGTTAGAGACAATTATATACAATCAGCTATTTGGGTACGCTTATATGTTTTCCTTTGTCCTGATTAGGTCACTTATAAAAGTTCCTAAACTTATATTTCATCCTGATACATTTGTAAAGGATATGGGTCTGTATATAGATATTGTAATCAAATTGATAGTTCTGCACTTTTATATCTAGTTAGTGTTAAAACTCTCTGTAAATTCGTGTTTGAAAATTACTTACCGGGTCAGGCCATATGTTTCTAAAAGAAAGGAAACTTATCTTTGCGAAGACAGATACAACTTTTTAAAGAAAATACAAATAACATGATTAATACATGGTCTCGTGACATAACTAGTTTCACTAAGGTGCAATGAGGTTACTTGTTTAATAACCATTAAAAACACAATGACATTATATAATACTAAGGACCATCGTTTAAATATTTTTGCACGAGCCTGTTATGATATGTTTGCAATCAGAATACTGAACAATATCTCTCGACCATATCTATTATGATAATGGAAATCATAGTCCTAATCTTGTGAAAACCACACTCCAAATACTTCATTTCCACATCTTCCGTCAGTTGTCCTTTATATCCTTCATTATTATTCCGAGCCTCGATTCCTTTGTGTTTCCCTTTCGGTTTTGTTCACTTCAATCTTCTCAACCTTCCACTTCCGATAGGCTTTACATACTACTTATATCTGTTAAAATATGTAGCATACACCGCACTAATACTCCATGTAATGACTTTAAGCATTCCAGCTGAAAATTGTGTGATTATTCTTGATTTACCTCTGAGTTTAAACATCCTTTTATTTTCTGATGGCTTTTGTTTACTGAATTCTGTACCTTCACTTATCTTTCTGGTATATGCCTTGGCTCTACAGAAATACATATGATCTAGATAAGATTCTACAAATTAGTACATTGCCAATTATATGTCTTTGGTTAGTGAGTAGAACTTCAATGGCACCAAGTCTATGAGAAATTCAAATGACTTTATAAACTTCATTTTGGCTGATTCTCAATCTAATGTTAGAGTAATATGGTATAAACATTGAACGACATGAAAAAATATACACTGCTCACTCAGCAAAAGCAGTGCTTAATCATTTATGACTGAATATTATCAAGCTCGAGCCTAGATGAAGTTTGATAATTAACAATAAGTTGAAGTTCGTTACTTTGAATCAGGTTTTGTTAACCATTCGGATTTCGTTGTAAAATGATCAGAGACAAGCAAATTTATATAATTTTGACTGAAATAAAAAGAGAACTTCATTTAATCTTGCAAGATGTAAGCGCTGAAGAAATCGATGACAGTTGCACGGTAAACTGATGTGTAATTGAACAAACTACAGAAGATTCAGTCAGACAAACAACTCTGGTTATTCAACAAAACGACTCCGTTTTCATATAACAAACATGCGGTTATATTAAATCAGTGTAAAAATTCCCAATCAACCACGGTCAAGGCATTTCAGTAAAATAGTTCAAATTAGTCTTGATGAAATGAAACGAGTAATTAGTATAATGTTAGAAGCAATGTAACTAATAATTACTACACATTATCATCATATAATTTGATGCATTGTGAATCAGACGGTAGTCGTAAAGTAATCAGTGTAATTTAGAAGGGATTTAATTTTTATTCCGTTGATTAAATCTTTCACTTAATTCATTAC